CACAGAGACAATCCACACAATTGATAATCGTCGAATGACGACGGAATTTTCTACACACTGACAACAATTACCGCGCCATGACGCGCAAAGTCGCTATGCGCGCGCATTTGTATATAACCATTGGGTTCACGTCACGAATCTCCGCGCTGGCGCACACCGCAATAGTTTCGAACGGCGGTTGTTTTGTGCGAACGTTGTTTACATCGAATCGACCGGCAAATAGGAAAAAAGGTGTAAAGCATGAAAGAATGCATATCATACACAAAAACATACATGCTTGTGGAGCACAAGCTCTCATATGCTTTGCAACGGGAAAGGCCCTCAGCGCCGCCCGGCACTATTCCATCCCCAGCAACACTAAGAAAGCATAGTCCCCCAACAGCAGGCATTCATAATATATAGTGGCGCACAGACATTCCTACCGCAATATGCGCACGTCGATCACAAACCCCCAACGGCACCCGCTACTGAGTACATACGGCACTGGCAGCAGTATACTAAACAGCTTTTAACCCCCCCCCCCCCCCACCCCCCACCCACATATACCGCTGTCCGCATTGACTGTAGCATGCACTAACTGTACGCTCGCCGAACGAGGAGATACAATTCAAAAATCACATACAAAGCACCTACTATCTGTGAACGATATATCAATATTAGCTATATCACGTGCGGTAATGCCATACCTTATACATGCACCTGCAGCAGGCGCGACCATACCAGATTGCGCCCAAACTTTTAATCCTCCTCTCTCTCCTTTCTTCCTCTCTCACCACACCCCACAGTCTTTATCCTAATCTCGGACTCGACTATTTCAATAAGACTTGACATCTTGAGAGATGTCTATCTGGCATAAATGAAGACAACTGCTTGAATACTACACGTAATACGGTGTGTACTGATCAGATCCACAGTATGACCGTAGTTACCCGTAGGTCGGGCGCGGTGATAAGATTGTTACAGTCGCAGCCCATTTCCGACGCAAACGCAAGCTCGTCCGCCCGGACGAAAAACAAACGCGAGTCCAGACGTATCGTTCCGCCCGATGACGAAAAGAATCCCGGGCGCCCGGCGTCCGCGGGAGCACCGACTGATCGACCGCTGCGGAGATCGTTTAGCGAGCCCGTAGCGCCAACACGGCCCCGCACGCAAACCGTCCAACCGCCTAAGACCGGCCGGCCGAGCAACACGGGTCCGCGCGCAGCACGCCGTCGACATCATGCCCCGATCCGCCGCACAGAAGCTCCTGCCCGAACCTGAAAGCGAACCTGTTCGCACCGGCAGCGGGAGATCACGCCGTCGTGCGGTGATTGCAAGCCCCAAACCGCGTCACATTAACTTCCACCATAGGACCCTAAAGCTGACTCACATACCACCCGTAGGTAACCTAATAGACTGGACCCCACTTAACTCACGTAGCTGTCCCACATAACTCACAGGTACTGTCCTCACATTAACTTCACAGGTAAGCGTCCCCCACATTAAACTCCCCAGGAGCTGCCTCCACATAACTTCACAGTACTCCTCACATAACTTTCACAGTGTTGCCCCACATAACTTCACAGTACTGCTCTACATTAACTTCCCAGGTAGCTGTCCCCGAATTAACTATCACAGGTAACGTCTCCCACATTAAACTTCACATTTACTGTCTCTACATAACTCCAGGTACGCCTACATTAACCACCGTAACTGTCCCCACATAACTACAGTATAACAAGACTGACTCTCCATATAACTTCACAGGTATGTAATGCATAAGCTGGATCCCCACAATAACTCACAGAGCTGTCCCCGACCATAACTCACAAGGTAGTAATCCTAAAGCGACCACCCATATTAACTGCCACAACGCCCACATTAATCACAGGACTTCCTCACATTAAACTCACAGGTAACTGTCCCCCACAATCTAACTCACAGGTACTGTCTCGAACTTAACTTCACAGGTACTGTCCCACATTACTTCACAGCCGTCCACGATGAACTCTACATAACCTCCCCACATAACCTTCACAGTAGGGTCCCTCACATTAACTCACAGAGCTGTCCTCACATAACTTCAAGTACTGCCCCACATAACTCACAGTTAGCTTCCCACATTTAACTTCACAGGTAATTCCTCACATTAACCACAGTATCTAATCTATAGACTGTCCCCCACATTACCTTCAGCCAGTAGCTGTCCCCACATACACATCACCGGTAGCGTCCTCCACATTAATTCACATTACTGTCGCCCTACATTAACTCACAGGTCGCTGTCCTCACATAAACTTCACCAGTAAGGCTGCTCTCACATAACTCAC